TTGGATTTTTTTTTCTTTTCTTTCTTTTGATCTTTGAGAGTGAACAGAAATTTCCACTTAAGAAAATTTAAGCAATTCTTTTTGGAGAATTCTTAGCGGAAATACATAGCAAGGATTAAGCATTAATCCCTCAAAAATACACTTCCGAATAGAGAACCGCTTGTAGTCCATCCAGGTTCTTCGTCTTGTTGTTAGAATCGTGTCTCCGCGATGGAATTCAGCTTCCTGTTCGTTCCCGTCCGTTCGCTGCACTTCGGAAGGTAATACTCATTTTCTATTCAAGTATTGTTTTGTTCTTAATGTGCTGCTGTTAAGTTTTCGATTATGCGAAGTTGAGTATATGTTATGACTTGGGATCATTTTTGACTTGTTGTTGGCTGCAAAATCAGTGATGAATCTTGTTTGCTAATCAATGTTGTTGTTGTTTGTTTCCGTTTTCGTTGAAAGTTTGATGTTCCCCCCTCCCTCGAGTTTTGGCTCTCTTATATTACAGCCTGATTAAGCCTCGTTTGAATTTATTTGCTCAGTTATTTGCACTAGCAGTGATACCTAAGGCTGAATTTCTTTCTCTTTAGTTCTTGAGATGGTAATATAGTCTTAATCTATGATTCCATTGATGGCTTTGATTATAGAAAAAAAAAAGGGGGGCTTTTTTTTTAAGAAGGTAGCATTGTCCGATTCATTTGTTTTTTGTGGGATAGCATGAGAGTCTTATTTCCGGCCTTCTTGTAATAGGGCGAAGGGATTAGTTAGGTCTAGCATCTCAACTATTATAAGTTGCCCAATGTTTGTAAGGCTACTGTTGAGATTAGTAAAAATTAAGCATATTCATGTGATACTCATATATGTCATTATGTCAAAAGTGTTGTTTGGATTACGCAGCTACGTGTTTAAAAATTAAGCATAATTCATGTAATACTCACATATGTCATTATGTTAAAGTGTTGTTGTGATTATGTAGCTACGTGTCTAAAAATTAAGCATAATCCATGTAATACTCACAAATGTCATTATGTTAAAGTATTGTTTAGATTTTGTAGCTATGTGTTTAAGTTGACGATTTTTATTATTATTATTTTATTTTTTTTAATTGTTTTTTTGTTGAGAGAATTCCGCATCACGCTAATATATATTTTTCTCCTATTGTATGTGATATTGTCGGAGTCCTCTTGGACTCCTATCTTTTCCCTTCATATTCCGAATGGGCCGCAAAGGCCCCCCTCTCCAAAATCCTCTCTTCGTTGGAATCAGCACCGTGTCAATTGTGAATTCGATGGACAGGTTCCCGGAGGAAAAACATAGCTGGAATTTGGATATTTCGGTGTCCAAAGCTCACAAAGAGGCTGTATACCTGCTGTATACACTGATATACCCGCTGTATACACGGGTATACAGTCAAAAACGCAATATACAGGTTCAAAAAATACAGGAAAACAGGTGAAAATATAGAAATACAAAGTCCGACTAAAAATACAGGACCGGGAGTTCAAGAATCAGCGATATACATGGTGTATACCTTGAATATACACTTGGTGTATATCATGATCAATGAAGATGGAAGAAGGGCCAAAAGCCCAATAAATTGTTATTTTTGCAGATTTAGGGATTTGGGCCAAAGGCCCAAATTCAATATGTCTTCCCTTTGCTATTTGATATTGTGTTTGACTAATCTTTGTTTATCTTATGGTATAATTTAATTAAATTCTCATAGATAGCCATTTCATTTTTTTTTTTTTTTTATCATATTCAAATCAAAGTATTAATATTTTATACTTAACTTTATTATTTTTATTAGCCTTGTCATTAAATTGTTCCCCTTTAGAAAAAAATTCCCTTTGGTTCATTTCCCTTTAAGATATTTAAAATGACACTAATAAAAAATAATGTTGATAAAAAATAACAATAATAGTAATAAATAAACAAGTTAAAATAAATGAGTCAGTTTACTTAGTTAAATTTTTTATTTTTTTAAAAGAAATTTAGCTAAAACAAATGAGTTCTTTTACATCCTTAAACTTTCAAAATTAGTCAAAGTCGTGAGTTCTTTACTTAGTTAAATTAAAAAAATAAAATAAAATAATAATTAGTTAAAATAAATGAATTCTTTTACCTAAGTTAAAATTTTAAAATTAGTCAAAATCATTTTGGTCAAATCGTCGGTCAACCGCGAGTTAGCGGACATTCCGAGGGCCTAACACCTTCTCGGGAATGTACATTTGAACTCGAACCCTTTTTCAATTGATTTTGTCTGTTTAAGTCTTTTGAAAAACCTTATATTTTTCTTGATTTTTTACTAAAAATTAAGTGGCGACTCTGTCCTTTGGAAATTCGATTTCTCTTAAACTATAAGTTTAATCGATTTTTCCAAAAACTCAGTCATTTTCCTTTTATATAATACTTTTAAATAAAACATTTACGTACCACATTTCGTATTTCAAGAGTCAAATAATTTAAATTTGACTGAAAAATTGCTCACAGAATCTTCACATCTTTTTAAAATGAAATTTATATATTTGTAAACTACGTAAAAATATACGTACTATAAGTAATAATAATTGGCAATTCAAAATATCTAAAAGATATATGAAAAACGATAAAAAAAATAGACTTGTTTGAATCTCAAAATTCAAAATGTGTTAGATAAATTGAGAAGAGAGCAGTATTTTAAAAGGCGGGGGCGTGAAGCGGGGCGTTTTACTTAGTATAGAGCGAGGTGTAAGCTTTGAGACGTGGGGCATAAGCCCCCTATAGATCTTAAAAATTTTAATTTATAATATAGTATAATAATATAGTAACACAAAATTATAAAAACACATTAATAGTTTGAAATAATTACAAACATGATTAAAGAAATAGCAACGTTCACATATAGCAAACATAAAAATCATATTTGTATGTTATAGCTATAGTTTGCATAATTGCGCTCCATAGCAAACATAAATATATATGTATATTTCACTATACATATACAAAAGAAAGCAATTGTATAATATGTTTCTGTATACATATACAAAAGGTCAATTGTATAATCTGTGTTTGTATAAAGAGAAAAAGAGAGAAAGACAAAAGAAAACTGGGCAAAGGAAGACCGTATTTGTATAATCATAAGTGTATAGGACGAAAATATATGCATTTGTATTTGTATATACAATTTTCTCTCGCTTTATACAAACACAAATGCAATGTATACATTTGTGTTTGTATAAAGTGAGAGAGGCGAGTGAGAGTGGCGAGCGAGATCTGGGAGAGGTGAGAGGGGAACGAAAATATATGTATATATACAATTTTCTCTCAACTTTATACAAATACAAACACATTTTATACATTTGTGTTTGTATAAAAGCGAGAGAGGCGAGAGAGACTGCCCAGTGAGAACTAGAGTGGCGAGCGAGATTCACTAGGAGAGAGGCGAAATAACAACAGTTTGCTATGTGGTACAATTAAATCAAACTATGGTTATACTCCCTCCGTCCCTATTTAGTTGTCCACTTTAGAAATGACACACATATTAAGGCAACAATGATTAGCATAGTGAAGTTACAATTTTACACTTATAGTACAATTTACAATTCCAAAATAAATTAACGCAAGATAACTAATCAATGTTGGGAAGTTCATAAGTTTATTTACTTTATTTATGACAACTTTATTTAAATAAGGGTATAATAGGGAAAAAATTGTTGTCCTTTCTTGATTTGTCAAAATGGACAACTAAATAGGGACAATTAAAAGAGGAAATATGGACAACTAAATAGGGACGGAGGGAGTATCATTTAATTGAATTAATGATTTGCTATTATATACAATTTCCTCTTAAAGAAACTCAGAGAAAATAAAACTTCTAACATGATTATACAAGTATAAATTTAACATCTTAACTTTATAATAATAAAGGAATCATTATTTCTAAAAAAAATTATTTTTATCATATTATACAATTTACTCCCTAAAAGAAAATAATCAATAAAACTAACTAGAATTATAATAAAAATATCACTCCATCAAGAATATAAATAAAATTACTTTCAAATAGCTAAATAAAATATGATAATTTTGAGACATATGACAAAACCATAAAAACCAATCATAAGTGAAAAAATGAAATTTCACTAAGTATTTTTAAAAGAAATGTGACGTAACGCATAATCACCTTCACATTGTTATGAAATAGTAAAGATGTGATACTACAACTTGTTATTTGAGTTACTCTCAATCTTCTTATCTCTATAGATTAAAAAATTATTAAGTTCCATTCATTTATTCAAAAATGATGAGGGTCAACAATGATACCTACAGAATTTAATATACATAATTTGTGCAAGATCTGTTAGGCGAGCCCCGAGAGTTGGGCGTGGCGTGCAGTCGAGCACCTAAAACGTAAGTTTAATTGAACTAAGTCCCACACTTGAGGCTCGGAGTGTCCACACTTAAGTCTCTAAGTGTTTTGCTAGAGTCCCATCCCAGAGCGAGTCCCAACAGAGTCTTTTAAAACACCGGAAGAGAGAGTAATACACAGATATTCAAATGTGATTGAGACATCTACTAGGATTGTTGATTTCTACCGAACAAAACATATCAAGAAATTGAAATGTGAAAATAAAAGAAAAATTCATGAACTGGAAATGGATACATATACAAATATTTCACCAATAAAATTTTCTTATTTCATTCACCAAATCAAATAGTACCCTAAGCTACATACTAAAAATGAAAGCTCTATTATATTTAGCAACAACTATGGAAGGTCCAACAATAACTAAGTTTAGAGAAGGCGGAAAAGCCATAAATAAAGCTTATTAATAAGTGAAAGAGAAAAAAAATGCATCACATAATTAAATTTAAACCTGATGAAGGCAGTATACAAATGAGGTTCCTTTTGATGTTTCGGTCATATCCTTCAGAAACATTTAAAATTAAATGCCAAGAAGTGCATATTTGACCAGAAGAGCAGATTTCAGAAACCAAACACTAGATACTAATTGCATGCTAATTCTCTTGATTCAAAAATCAAACAAGAATGGATCATTATTTCCATAATCCCAAATATCAGCTGGGTGGTAATTATCATTATCATCAATAATAGGAGGCCACAACACCGGAGATGCCACTGGATCGGAAACAACCGGTGCAGCATCCACAAAAGTGTTTACGTTATCATACAAACAATTATGCTGATTATATTGTTGATTTTGATCTTCTTCTCTAGGATTAGGGTTAGGGTTAGGGTTTGAGTTTGAATCAGACCATATCATTCCAGATGCTTTAGTGGTCTCACCGTCGAGATATCCATAATTATCATCAAAAGTTTGTTTCTGAATTGAGTATTGAGGATTTTGTGAGATGTCTTCAGCATATTGCACGGCAGGATAAAATCCATAGGGTAGGTAATTATTAGCAGGAGCCAATACGTTTGGAGGTAGCAGCGTAGAAGAAGAAGAAGAGAAAGACAAATCAAATCCAGAAGGAGGTCTAGGAAGTAAAGGACGAAGAGTTTGTGTAGTAGAAGATGTAGATCCGCGTTTAGAAGAATTTGATGATGAACTACTAGCGTTTGCACCTGAAGGTTGAAGATTGAGCTGAGCCTTTGAACCGTAGAGTATAATAGCGGCACGGTCATAAGCTCGAGCAGCATCTTCAGCAGTGGCGAAAGTACCGAGCCAACGGCGTGTCCGTTTACGGGGCTCTCGGATCTCAGCTACCCACTTGCCCCAGCTGCGTTGTCTAACTCCTCGATACCTGAATTTGTTGTTATCAGGTCCTCCTTTGCCTTTACTACCTTTCTTGTTGCTTTTCTCCTCACTGGTGGATTTTTCTTGGTGGTTAATGTCTTGGGTAGGGTGGGGATTATCACTACCTGCACTGGTGCTATTCATAGTTCCAAAGAGATGAAAATTTAGAGATCAGATGCCTCGTTGTTTGTTTACCCAATGAGTCGAAAGAGAGGACAGTGGAAGGCTGGTGTCAAAGAGACAATATGGTATTTGTAAATGGTGGATGAGGGCGGTGCTCTTATATGACTCAAAGCATGCCTATTCTTATACACTTTCAACCCAACTTACTTCCTTTCGTCAATACCAAGTTTCATCTTCCACCACAAGGTTTTTTTTTTTTTTTTACGTTCGGTTGTAGGAATAAATTTTAACTTTTAATTAATTGAAGTGATGCACATTTAATCTTTTTTTCTAGTATCATCCCATGTACAGTTATCCCAAATTATAATAATATTTGTAATAATATATTAATTAAATAGTTTATATGTAACAGAATTCATGCATAAAAAAATTTAAAACTCATGGTTCTATTAGTTGAAGATTATTTGGTATCTATCTTAGAATTTGATTAAATTTGAATTTGTGCGAAAACTTTCAAATTGGAAATAAAACATTCTTCGATTAAGGTGATACCATACTCAAGTAAACATACGTACATAGTCACATATCACAAGAAACAAAAAAAGTTTATAAATAATCGAGGAACCAAAATATTACTATCCGTTCTATCATTAGAAATTTAGAATATACAAATTAAATTCAAATGAAAATTGTCTATGAAAAAGCAAAAGACAATGTGGTATCAATATGACATTTTCATTCTATTCGTCTTGGCTTGCATATAAAGTTTTTGAGTATTCATAAGATGTAGATTCTCCGATTGCATATAAGTGTGATCATAATAATTATAGTCATTTTTTCAATACATTTATCAAAAATTGAATTTATTATATTTAAAAAGACATATAGTAAAATTACTTTTTTTATTTATTGCTTATAAAATATTGTGTCAAGTCAAACATGAGCTAGTAAAGATGAGGGGAAGTACCATAATACTCATTAATTGATGTCTAGTCTTAGCTAGTCTTGAAAAATAGATAATTACTCTTGATATGCTAAATGTGACAAGTCAAAATGAAAATGTATTTAATGTTGTAGACAATGGACCTTTTATTGGTAAATACATATTTAATTTGAATGAAATCTTAAATTCATGATATATTGACCAAGTCAAATTATTGATTAATAAAGTCTAATTAATATTTAAGTTAAAATTATATAACTTAAATAAAATTCAAATTACATAGGCTAGTTTGTTAAGTTGACAAAATGACTCCAACTCATGCTCTTCAAGATCAAGGTTCTCTAAATTACTTGGAGACTAAATACACCTAAAATCCTTACTCACATCTAGGGGTGTGGAAAAATCGAACCAACCAATAAATCGAACAGAAAAAAATGTTATTGGATCATTGCTATTAAGTTATTGGGTTAACAGGTTTTTAATGGTTTTATAAAAAAATTATTGGGCTATCGATTTGGTATCGGTTTTTAGTATTGGTTTTATTGGGTAAATCGATAACCCATTAAGAAGATAGTAAATTACTACTATACCCTTCATAAATATTAGTAAATATTAATAATTTAATATAACTAGACACTAGATCAATACTCTAAACTACGGTCTACACACTTTACACGTCATAGTACTTCTACTTCACATAAAAAATTCCATATTAAGTTTTGGTTGTAACATGTTATTGTAGTCTTCGTACTACATCTACTCTTATTGATGTAATTTCTCATTATATTCTTGTTTCACTATATCAAAGCATTTACAGTTGATTTGGTTGTCTCACCGTATCGTGTCAAATTATTAGAGAAGTGAGAAATCATATATTTATTTTATGAGCATTTTCTTATTGGGAAAACTGAATCGTTAATGATAAAAAATCGATAAATCGAAAATCAATAAAGAATATCTTATTGATTTGTTATTGATTTAACATATTTAAAACCGATAAACCGAATCGATAATACATAAAATCGAACCGACCGATGCACGCTCCTACTCACATGTATATGAAGGGTCTTCATAAAATCTGAAAAACACATGAAGAATCCTTGCTCTTCCGTTATGGTCTGCAAGTCCTCAACAAACAAAGAAGTTTTCGTCTCCAAGGGTTAAAGATGCACCACATTAATTTAAAAACTTTAAGACTTGATCAAAGTCAATATTTAAACTAAACAAACTTGAAATTGAGATTTGAAAGCTCTTAAAGGTTTCAGATGGTGAGTTACGAACTTAAATATATACTTTTAACTGCACATGGGATGATTCTTGAAAAAAATTGAGTATTAAAGATGCACCACTTTAATCAAATAATATAAGGATTAAAATCAAAATTTATTCCAACTATAGAGCGTTAAAAAAAAATAAAAATCTTCAAGCCTAAGTTGAAACAAAAGAAACTTGGTAATGACAAAAGGAAGTTGCCTTCATAGTAGTGCATAAGAATACACATGCTCTGTGTATATAAGAGCACCGCCCTCATCCACCATTTACAAATACCATATTGTTTCTTTCACACCAGCCTTCCACTGTCCTCTCTCTCGACTCATTGGGTAAACAAACAACGAGGCGTCTCTCTCTAAATTATCATCTCTTTGGAACTATGAATAGCACCAGTGCAGGTAGTAATAATGATCAACATCCCCACCCTACCCAAGACTTAGACCTCACCAACCAAGAAGATAAAACAACTACTGCTTCTCTCACCACACAAACCAGCAGTGAAGAGAATAGTTCAAGTAGGCAAAAGGAAGTTGCCTTCATAGTAGTGCATAAGAATACACATGCTCTGTGTATATAAGAGCACCGCCCTCATCCACCATTTACAAATACCATATTGTTTCTTTCACACCAGCCTTCCACTGTCCTCTCTCTCGACTCATTGGGTAAACAAACAACGAGGCGTCTCTCTCTAAATTATCATCTCTTTGGAACTATGAATAGCACCAGTGCAGGTAGTAATAATGATCAACATCCCCACCCTACCCAAGACTTAGACCTCACCAACCAAGAAGATAAAACAACTACTGCTTCTCTCACCACACAAACCAGCAGTGAAGAGAATAGTTCAAGTAGGAACAAGAAAGGTAGTAAAGGCAAAGGAGGACCTGATAACAACAAATTCAGGTATCGAGGAGTTAGACAACGCAGCTGGGGCAAGTGGGTCGCTGAGATCCGTGAGCCCCGTAAACGGACTCGCCGTTGGCTCGGTACTTTCGCCACTGCTGAAGATGCTGCTCGAGCTTATGACCGTGCCGCTATTATACTCTACGGTTCAAAGGCTCAGCTCAATCTTCAACCTTCAGGTGCAAACGCTACTAGTTCATCATCAAATTCTTCTAAACGCGGCTCTGCCACTTTATCTTCTACTACACAAACTCTTCGTCCTTTACTTCCTAGACCTCCTTCTGGATTTGATTTGTCTTTCTCTTCTTCTTCTTCTACGCTGCTACCTCCAAACGTATTGGCTCCTGCTAATAATTACATACCCTATGGATTTTATCCTGCCGTGCAATATGCTGAAGACATCTCACAAAATCCTCAACACTCAATTCAGAAGCAAACTTTTGATGATAATTATGGATTTCTCGACGGTGAGACCACTAAAGCATCTGGAATGATATGGTCTGATTCAAACTCAAACCCTAACCCTAATCCTAGAGAAGAATATCAAAATCAACAATATAATCAGCTGCAACATCAACATAATTGTTTGTATGATAACATAAACACGTTTGCGGATGCTGCACCGGTTGTGTCCGATCCAGTGGCGGCAGTGGTGTCTCCGATTTTCTGGCCACCTATTGCTGATGATAATTATAATTACCACCCAGCTGATATTTGGGATTATGGAAATGATCCATTCTTGTTTGATTTTTGAAAGATCTTAAAGACAAGATTTTCTGTTACATGCAACAACAAACAAGTAGTAGTTGCTAGTGTTTCATATTCCAAATTCGCAGGTCAAATCTGCACTCTTTGTCATTGATTCAGCGGAAAATGCTGCTGCGGGATTTTCTACTGCTTTTAAATTAGTTGAGATGTGACAGTAACATCATCTGTATACTGCTTTCTTTGATCAGGTTTATTATGTCATGCATTTTTTCTCTCCTCTTTCACTTATAATGTAATTTTTCAACTTATCTAAAATTGTTGGATGTCTTGCAGTTATTGCTATATATAATTAGTTTTCATTTTTTTGTATCTAGCTTAATATATACTTTCTTCCTTTCAATTCGTATGAGTTAGTTTGATTTGATATATGAGTTTGTATTCTGAACTCTCTTACTCTATACTTTGTCAACTCGACCTTTAAACTTATTAAAACACAATATTTGAAATCTCTCTAACCATATCGACCAAATTTATGTGGTATAAATATTGTTGAGTTGGGAAAATATATAAATATACTCGCTTTCAAACGCCTCAATACGCTATATTCTATTTAAAAACATTAATTTTTTTAGAAAACAATATTTTTTAATTAAAAAAAATTATTTCTTCATTAACCCTCTTCCAATATTTCTTCATTAAAAAAATCAAACGGTTAAATATTTGAATTGTTTATATTTTTCTTAATATTTAATTTCTTACGTGTCACTGGAAAATGACATAGAATTACACATGTAAGAGGTTGGATTACATGCACACTGATGTGATGTGAAAATGGTTTAATATATTGTATTGTAATGAATTTAAGATTTATTTGACAAAGTGTTGAGTAAAGGGTTCAGAATACAAACATATATCATTATAAGGGTCCATCAGACCATTTCGCCTTGACATGGAGTTAGAAAGAAAAACTTTTAAAATTTATGATCTAATTAAAATATGTGATAGATAATTGTATGACTATAGATAATTTTATTAGGGGTAAAATTATATTCTAAAGTTAAATGTTATTAAATATTATAAAAATATATAATTCATTTTAGGTCTCACATAAATAAAATAAAAAGTCATAAGACAGGGATTAGTATTTGATTTGGTGATTTATTGGTGAAATATTAATTTATTGGGTTTTTAAAAGGTGAGAATAGGAAATTGAAGAGTTGTGACATTTATGAATAGTTGCTTTTCAGAATGATTGTGACTTTTTTGAAGGGTTATGTGACTTTTTCAAAACGTTGTTACTTTTTCAAAGAATTGTGACATTTTTGATAAGACACAATAAACATTAGTTCATATTACCTTATGTTATCTATGAATATAGTAATTTCCTCTCATTTTCAACAACGAATTTTCTGAACTTTTTCTTACTTTGCACAAACAAATTTTAATGTATTTTACGATCTTTGAGTGGTTCATTGATACTGTGATTTTAGGTACCAATAGACCAATAAGTAAGATCGTTCTATCCTATAGGATATATTTTATTAACTTCGGGTACCTGAGGGAAATAATTTCCTTAAGATTGTTGGGTTTAAGTAAAGTGTAAATTGGAAGATGAGAACTGAGAAATTTGGGGAATTAAGTGAAGGAAAAATGAAAAGTTATTTCTCTCTCATCGGTAGAAGAAAGAAAAAAATTATCCTATATTAGGAAACACTCCTTTGGAGGGTGTCCCTGGCACCTCGCATTGTCGCTATGGTTGAAATCGTGGTCAAGCCTCTATCCTGAGAGGATATATATGAATATCTTCGTGAACTTGACGATAATAATTTCATTAAGAGTGTTGCATTTAAGTAATGTATCAATTGAAAAATGAGAATTAAGAAATGTGGAGGAACCAAGTGAAAGGAAAATGAAAAGTCATTTCTCCACCCAATGGCGGAGCCGCAAAAAAAAATTGTGCTTTTTGGGGTTCAAATTCAAAACTCCTTCATTCAAATGGACACCCATTATCACTGTGCCAAAGTCACAACTTTTATCAAGGATCTCCAACTTTAAATACATAATTTGACATATATATATATATAACGTAATTTTCCTATTAAGAGTGTCCAGGACACCTTCGGGTAGCTATAAAGCGCACTCACTCTAACGGCGTACCTTTTGCATGATGGGTCAGCGAGGAAATGGGAACAACGACTTAAGCCATTAGGTGTAGGCGCTTTCCCTATGCCAACTTTCTCCCCTTCATTGGTAGAAGAAAGGAAAAGTTTTGTTCTTATATTGGGAAACACTTCATACAAAGTCAGTTTATTAAAAAAGTTTTTTTTAGAAAAATCGATCTCGTCCCTTAAATTTTTATATTTATTTTTGTGTAAAAATAATTATATATCAATGAAATATATTTTCAAATGTATTGCGAGACTGAACATACTATGAGACATGAATGCTTATATGAATGGGTTCATATCATGAGGCTGATAACCATAACTTTATGGAGTAAGATTGAGATCAATGGGCTAAAGTCTTTGCCCTTTATTCTGGAAATTGAGCATAGATGTAAATCTCTCTTAAGTGTATGAGCATAGGTCATCAACAAAATTCTGATAGAAGAAACATCATCATGATGTTGTAATGACTGAACTTTGAGGAATACGCGAGAGTATGAATGGATTGATGTATCTCCTTAACTCTTTCTGAAGACATAACTATCTCATTCTCAACAATTGACTTGATTTCTCATCTTATCATCTCCCCCTTAGGTTGGAGTTGACACTCTAAAGCTATGGATCTATTCTCATCATCTTTAAACTGGTCTACATTTGCTTTACTCTAATACAAGATAACGACTTATCTCATGGCTACTGAACTCTCCATATGCAGGTACTAAGAATCTTTCTAAAACCTCTTTCTAAGATACTTCTCTTAACCTCCACTCATTGGCTTAAAAGGCCACTTAATCTGATTGTTTAACAATCTGACTTCTCCCCCTCAGACTACCAATAACATCCTTCTAGGTTCATATCAACCTAACTGGAGGAAACTTTGAACTATATTTAAGAGGCTCGTCATTGACAATATGAAATCCTTTCTACCAAACTATTATGGGTAATAATTAATGCTTACTTTAGCCTACTCCATATTGACAACTCCAATATACTATCTCGGCATACATGAAAATAATAAACTTAACTGGAACCTCGTTTAAATACATACAATCTAGGGTACACCTCTTAATGTTCTTCTTACTCTTATGACTTAGCCACACTTCATTGCCCTTATCTAAAAGCTAGGATCTCTCACTTGCACCACTCATATTAATTGTAACTAACATCTCAATTTCTCACCTACTTTATGTCAATTCTACCAGATCAGATCTTAAGACTAACATCATCACCCTCAGGTTGTCATTCTTTTGATCACGATGTTCATCTCAAATTCAAGCTTAATGTTTATTACTAAACCCCGATATCAATATGATTGTTCGCTTACTATACTAACGTACAACTACTATATAAACATTAAGAAACACTCGCCCACTAAACCTCATGACAAGTAGTCAATCTTTATTTATAGTCTTCATACTTATAATTTTACCGTCACACTTCCTATCACAATTTAAGTACTATTTACCCATTCGCTATACATCATTGCCTAATTAGTTTTGTAAGCCTCTAAATATTATGGGCTCCCCTTCAAAAATCATAAGCCTAGCTTAGATCTATCACCTCATGAGTACTTCTGCTCTTCTATTCAACACCTACACTTTGTCGTTACTAACACAATGACATATCATCATAACCTCATTTCTAGTTAAATTATACTTTAACTCATCCTGACTAGTAACTCTTACTCTACCTCCTATCATGAAATCTACACAAACTCATCACTTCTTAGTCTACCCATAAGGGGAACTCCTCATTAATAACATACTGGGTGCATGGCTATAATAACATAGTTTGCCTCATCACAATTTCTCTTTCTTAGATTACTGAACCTCTGCATGTATTCTTCTAACTTAAGTGCACTTTTACTACTACTTCTCATAATCTCATAACTCATACTATCTTTCTAGTGAAAATTATGACCCAACTTCTAAAACACACTTCTTCATAAGGGTCTCAACTAAAACAAGGTTCCGAGAAAGAGTCTGGGCATATATTTTGCTTTTAGCTCGAACGCACGATTCATATGAATAAATGTACATTATTTCAAATTTCACACTTAATCTTACTCACGGGCTTCTCTCAAGCCCCTCTACAGTCTCGTGACTTTCTCTAAACTCTTGTTAAGAGTAACTCATTGATAATGATCTGGGCTTTGATTTTCAATTACCTTGAGTATGAGGGGTAGTCGAATGAATATGAGAAATGCATGAGTTAGAATAAGTTCCTGATGATACAACTATATTGCCAGATTTAGAGTATGAAAAAAGGGAATTTTTTCCTAAATATTTGTAGTCCCTTATTTATAGAAGTGGTGCCCTCACAACCACAAACAAGATCCTACCGACACGATTTCATAGAAACCCTAGAACACTTGAACCTAGTGCTTTGATACCAAGTTTGTCATGACCCGGGCCTGCACCCCCATGCAACCTCGCTATCTCTTTCACATAAACTTTAGCCAATTGCAGAATTGTAATCTATTCTTACCGGAATAAAATGGGCTGACTTAATCAATATGTCAACCACTACCCAAATAGAATCAAACTTTCCCAAAGTCTTGGGAATACCAACCACAAAATCCATGGCTATCATTTCCCACTTCCATTTCGGAATTGGCATTCTTTGAAGTAAACATGTAGGCCTTTGTTGTTCATACTTCACTTGTTGATAATTTTGACACTTCGCCACAAACTCTGCTATATCATTCTTCATGCCTGACCACCAATAAATTTGATTCAAATCTCGGTACATCTTGGTCAAACCCAGATGAATAGAATATCGCAAACTATGAGACTCTGTCAATAATTTCTGAATCAAGTCATCTACTCTAGTAACACAGATTCTTCCTTTAAAATTGATCACACCTTCCGCATCAAGAGTG